CCGCCCAGCTCACGCGTACGCCGCCCGCGTGACCAGGCGTCGTCTACCACGGAAGCGCCACGCTGAAGCGCAAGATGCAGCTAGGCAAGATCGTATGAGCGTGCCTTGCGGCGCGGACCGTCTGCTCAGCGCGAGTGAGACGGGCGGGGAGGGTACCGCAGGGGGGAGGGGCGGCAGCTGGGAGTGACGAGTGGGGATCGCACTATGTGCGACGAGATAATCTAAGATACGCGCCTGCCCCGCCGCGCCCCGCCTCACTCGCGCCTCTGGAAATTCAGTACCGCAATACGAGCTTGGAGTGTGAAGGCTTCGTAGCCCTCCGATCTACTAAAGGGTGTGGATGCTGGGTTGACCGAAATCGGGGGACGCGACCCACTTCGCCACAGACGGTCCCGCGCCTCGCCACTATGACGGGCACACGCCCCGCACCGTCCGCTGTGTGCCCGTCTTTGTCCGGAGTGAATACTCCAACGCGCTCGTCGGTGACGGTGTCCCCCGATTTCGCCGCGCTCCGGCACCGCTCCGGGACGCACGCCGGCGAAGCACGTCAAGCTGCTGTACGGCCCCGGAATCGCCTCCCCTCGCTTAGCTAGACTGAGAGTTATTGTGCACATGGTTAGTCTCTACAATATACTCACTGACACCCCCCCTCCCAGAGCTCGTCCCGGTCCGCCACGGCCATCCTCGGCCTCCGGAGGGCCCCCGGCCGCGGCGCGGTGCGGCGGCGTCACAAATCCGACGGCAGAGCACCGGGACGCGGTCGGGCGATCTGAGGTCCAGTGAGGCGTATGCATTGCCCATCCAGGGCTATCACATGGACCTATCAACAGGCGCCTGCGGCGGAGCAGGAGGGCCCGGCGCACAACCCCCTGGTCAACTCACCCTCCACACCCCGTATGAAGACCCGCAGGTCTGGAGCGAAAAAAAGGCAAGGCGTGAAGAGCGTGTGCCGTGTCATCTCGTAAAGCCGTAGAGTAGCGGACCACCCTGTACGTACGCTCTGAGAACGTACCCGAAAAGGTGAACCGCCGACCGACGGAATTGGAGACAGAGAGTAAAAGTTTTGCCACCCAGTCACGCCGCTGCTATGCAGACACCATTCGCCTTACTGCTCTCGCAGTCGCTTTCGCAGTCACCACCCGGCTTGTGTAAGAACTTCTGCGCCCGGAAGACCCAACCCTGGGATGCGCGCTGCACCTGGAATGGCTGCGGGGGCTGCACCGAGTGCCCCGTGGTGTCACAGCCACCACAAATGCCACCGCCGCCGCCGCCACCCCAGTTCTGTCCAGCCTGGTGCGCCCAGAAGACCCAACCCTGGGAAGGACTGTGCACCTGGAACGGCTGCGGGGGCTGCACCGAGTGCCCTGTGGTGTCACCGCCACAAATGCCACCACCTGCCCCACCGCCGCCACCCCAGTTCTGCCGAGCCTTCTGCGCCAAGAAGACCCAACCCTGGGAAGGACTAAAAGGACTGTGCACCTGGGACGGCTGCGGGGCCTGCGCCGAGTGCCTTCCACAGCCACAAATGCCGCCACCTGCACCGCCGCCACCCTCACCGCCGCCACCCTCACCGTCGCCGCCGTCCACCTCGCCTTCACCGCCGCCGCCGTCGGCCTCGCCGTCGCCTCCGCCGCCGTCCTTCCCGCCCGCCCTTCCAGAGGGCACGCCACAGGCTCCGCCACCGCCACCCCGGTTGTCGCCTCCCCCCTCGCCACCGGACCCATGTGCTAAGGTTCTGTGCGCGTCGACCGAGACGCACAACCTGATCGACTTCAGCCTGGCGACGCTGCAGAACAACAACCTCGGCGGCGCCGGCCCCGACCCGGACGACTCTCCGGAGAACATGCACCTCGCATCAGTCGGGATGACGGCCGACGGCGAGCCTTTTGACCTGATCATCACCAGCGAGACGGAGTACGTGCCGCGCAATGCCGCGAACCACAACGGCATCAACGGCGCGATCCCGCAGATCAACCTCGGGCAAAACGAGACCGTGACGCTGCGGTTCGACTTTGTCGACAGCAACGGCCAGCCAGTCGTGCTGAGCGAGTTCTTCTTCACCTACTACGACCTCGACCAGGAGACGGACCTGCCGTCTGGGGCGGAGTCGCTCACGGCGAGCGGCTTCGTCAAGTACGACGTCGACCCCAACACGGAGCTCGACATCAGCACCGCGCTAGACGGCTCCGTCACCTTCTCCTCCACCAGGCGAGGGACGCTGGACGACAACCCGACCGACCCACTGTCACTGACGTCGGAGCAGCTCTCACGCTCGGTGACGCTCTTGTATCGCGACACCTCGACGGTGAGGCTCACCTACTCGACGACCGCGGCCGTCTGCAGCCCCACCCCGTGCGGCGGGCGCAACTTCCTCTTTGCAGGCGTCAATCCGTTCCCCGTCGTTGACCCATGCTGCCTTTCGCCGCGGGGGCCACCGCCCTTCCCACCACCGCAACCGCCGCCTCCGCCCGCATTACCTGTACCGCCGTCTTCTCCTTGCATTTGTGCTTCGGACGAGACGCACAACCTGATCGACTTCAGCCTGGCGACGCTGCAGAACAACAACCTCGGCGGCGCCGGCCCCGACCCGGACGACTCTCCGGAGAACATGCACCTCGCATCAGTCGGGATGACGGCCGACGGCGAGCCTTTTGACCTGATCATCACCAGCGAGACGGAGTACGTGCCGCGCAATGCCGCGAACCACAACGGCATCAACGGCGCGATCCCGCAGATCAACCTCGGGCAAAACGAGACCGTGACGCTGCGGTTCGACTTTGTCGACAGCAACGGCCAGCCAGTCGTGCTGAGCGAGTTCTTCTTCACCTACTACGACCTCGACCAGGAGACGGACCTGCCGTCTGGGGCGGAGTCGCTCACGGCGAGCGGCTTCGTCAAGTACGACGTCGACCCCAACACGGAGCTCGACATCAGCACCGCGCCAGACGGCTCCGTCACCTTCTCCTCCACCAGGCGAGGGACGCTGGACGACAACCCGACCGACCCACTATCACTGACGTCGGAGCAGCTCTCACGCTCGGTGACGCTCTTGTATCGCGACACCTCGACGGGA